ATTGACTGCAGGACTTTATCTGTGCATCTCCATGCGACACAAGGATAATTCCTGTACTATCCATATCACTTAATTTATGCGACGCATTCGCTTTGCTGTACGTTGGAGCTGAAATTTAAAAGGAGATTGATGACCGTTTCTGGCATATCAGCATTACAAAGCCCACATATGTAGTTCAAAGTTGGATTTTAAAACGTCCAGTGACCGAAAAGTACGCCTTTGAACCCCAGGACCTGTGTTTAGGCCTGACTGAATGATGATGGCTAATAAGCTGGAAACGACTTGCTCAGACATTGTTTTCATTTTAGATAACTCTCCATATCTTGACTGTTCATTCGACATTCTGCTACAGCTTAACATGGCTGCGAGGAGTTCAGCTCATCGGGGTTCAACTTCCAGGTTCCGCACACCGGTGGGTTGTAATGGCCGACTGATGATGGCGACTAAGTAAGCAATTACTACCTCGGCCTTCGTCGCTGGGACTACGAGAGAACGTACCTGCCAGTAATAGGTGCAGATCAGTCCATTTAAGAACCACCTATACGACTAGAGAACACCCGCCATCGAGCTTGAAGTGCACATTTCAGGTGTCCCGAACATTCCGAGGCCGCAATTCATCTCTCTACATCACATGCGCTTATTCACTTAGACACATGTAGTAATAAATGCTTATTAAAACAATAGCTAGCACTCGTGTTGTAATCGTTTGATGAAACTGGGCTCCGACTATAAACAACTCTGTCTGTGTGAGACATGCAGTAACGCACTTAAAAGCATGTTGCAACTAACGAGAAATTTCCCTCTGAAGGACGGTCTGAGGTCGGAGAGCTCCTCTTTAGTTGCATCGCCGCAGCTTCTTATATGCACGCAAATGCAGTGTCAATCTCCATTCTTATATCTATTTTTGATAAGAAAAGGAGGCAGGACTCTTATATGTTTAAGTACTTAGCAAACCAACAGGCAAGGTATTCCGTAATATGAAAAAAAACGTAATTAGGAGTTTTTTGGGCAGAGAAAGGCAATGGACGAAAGCATAGAGCTAAAAATAGGGAAAAGCCGTAAATAAGCAGACGATTGTTTATTTGCTCTGATGAAAAGAGCAGTATGGTCTGTCAAACGGCAAACCAATTATAAATCTAAAAACAAACCGGACCTTAAATTTAATCTTTACCAAAAAACGATCTCAAAAACTCGAACAACCACCTTCCCTGACATGTAACCGATCGGTAAGTGCCCATTCAGCAACATTGTGAACATCGCTTATTATCGCTAATGTGCATATATTTGTTGAATTAAGATAACGAGTGCTTTCTAAAGTGGGTAATCAAAACACGGCCGAACGGTTCATACCTAGAAGTATCAGTATTTAAGAACGAACAAACGGTACACACATTGCTAAAGATTGCATATCCGTACGGAGGTTAAGGATACGACGGTTCGAACACCGAGTTCGATTATGTCCATCATATGCTCTAAGCACGCCATCTTCTGCATTCTCCACCTTTACCCACCGGATCCGGCTTTCGCCGCTATCCCTAATAAATGCCGGAACACCGCGAGTGATTGAGATTTAAGTTACAGTTAACTTTGCGCCGGATCTACCACACTCTCTAAACTCGAACGGATTAACTTCTTGGCACGTTCTTCTAACTTGAGAGTATTAACCTCCGGCTGTCTGTCCGGCGACTCGTCAGTAAGACGCACTTCAGTACGACAGACGCGGAGCATATTATTCTTTAAATCTACAGAGTACTTAAATGTGTTCGTACGAAATGGGCCACTGGTATGCAGTATCGAGCCATATCGAGGAAAATAAAAATACGTATGGCTTAACGAAACGTTATTAAATAAAAGCCCCAATTTCGACCATGCCTTTATGTTGTAGTGTAGTGCCAGCAGTCGTTTTTAGGCTAACTTTATACAATATATAACTCTAGCTTGAAGTTTGCGGAGTGTCTGCTGTCTAATAAGGGACTAATCTGCTCCAGAATTAACTAGGCATAGCAACTTAGCTGGGTAATAAGACATGCATCCTATAGTTGCAATAGGTATATAAGATAGGAATATACACATACCAACTTCCTCATCCTCATGTGGGGCGATCGTTTGAACACCGGATTTACTCTGGGGCAGTTTTGGCAAACAAGCTTCTCTGCACGGAGGATGCCGACCACCAGATATAGGCAGATTACGCCGGAATACCCCTAATGTAGACAGATTTGACGGTCTCACGGGCAGAAGTAGAGGATACTAACGTGTCATCAGACAGAAAACTTATAAGGCGACGACACGTCAATGAAAATATTAGAAAAGCCGCAGTGTAATGGCAAAAACTACAGTCAATAAAAATATAGTGCCTAAGTAAAACACCTTTAACCACTGATTTTTGATACACCTATGAATTCCCATGGCTTGTAGGTTATACATGCAGATAAATCGATCTCCGACTACGGCGGCCTCAAACTATAAACTTAAAGGGTGGGTACTTTGTCAGCGTTAAAAAAGTTGTTTACTTACCGAATACTTTTGAATCCGGCCTACACATGGACTGGCACTTTAGTGTGTTGATGTAAATGCGTAAACACTCACCTGTGAAAAATATCATTCACGTCTCTACAAGAGTACGATTATTTTACATAGGGCTTGAACAATTTTGCAGAGAATGCGGACCATGTTGAATTCTTCATCAGCAGCATTAACGAAAAGAAAATATACGAAACGCTGGGAATGGACATTTAGCCTTTTAAAAATCTCCGAATTACTAAGAAAAATGTAAAGAGAGAGCGATAAATACGATTTTCACTGTGCCGAAATATACTTTTTTTAGAATTATCATATTAATAAAAAGTCGTAATTTGTTTTATCAAATGAGCATAAGAAAGCTCACTTAATGCATGTTTTGACGTTGTATCCGGGTGCAATTCAAACGAGTAGTTGCACTTGGAATGTTATTATAAGACTTTAATAAAAACAAAACCTAGTGAAAAAGTAATCTCTTGCGTGATGTCACAACAGTTATTACGAAGCACACGAGAAGCGCTGTGACGGCCAACAGTTCAGCTTTCCCATACGCAGATGTCCGTCGTAGGCCTCAGAGCGGAGGTTTGTCCACGTTGGTGATCGGCGCGCGGATTAATTTATGCTCATAGCTAATTTTACCAGGATACATCAGAGCCTCTCCTGGGCGTACTTACTTGTACTTGTTGGGGCTGCAATCATGGCTGATCTAGCCGCTTCAATTATGTCCCGTACGCGCGACGATCCGTTGCCGCAGATATCGACAGCTCGACCCATTCTTTTCGCCAGCGCCGGAGACCGAGTAAAGGAAGAGGGAAATCCAGTTTCTGGACTGCTGCCTTTGATCTCCTTGGTACTTACGCACAGTGATTCCAATTTTTCTATGACCTGCGGGCGCAACTGGAAGTCGACAGGAATATTTTGACCATTGTCCACCAGCCAAAACCAGATAACCACCCGACGTTCACTATGCTGCCAACAGGCAGTTAGTACTCGGTTCACATACTTAATGAAAGCACAGACGCGTGTTTCGCCGGTTTTCTACGGCTGCCTGCCACAGAGGCGAGTGTCTCTTCCGAGCAGTGTTCAGCTTCCAGGTTCCACAAACGCCCGCTTGGTATGGCTGCCTAATGACGGCGAATGAGCGAGAAATAGCCATCGCAGGAGCCGTCGTGTTCACAGCTAGGAGCAAATAAAAAAACCCGAGACAACCCGTATATGACTGAAGAGCGCCCACTAGCGGCCTTGACTAACACTAATCAGGTGCCCCGAACCTTTCAGGTTCGCATTTCACGGTTTGACGTCATGTGGGCCTTTTCCTTAGGGCACGTGTATACAGGAAAATAATCATTTAACAATTAGCTGACAATTATGCAGTACTCATGTCTCGAATAAAAATGGCGCGAAAACGCAGGCGATGGATTATGCATAATAAAATATTATATTAACAAATATTGCTGGAATAGAGAAGTATTACAGTAGGTATAATTTTACGGGCATCAGAATGATATCGGCCGGGTTGTATTCTAGATCGCCGTACTATATTGATGCAGTTTCTACTTATAAACCTCTAAGAATACTGACATAATGACATATAGAAGCGGAGCATTGCAAGCTCTAACCAATCTGTTGGAGAAAAAATAACTTCAGAGTGTCCGGCCTAGGCCCAGTAACACGTAAGTTGAGAGGATAACACCTCAAGCTCGTTGTTGTTGCTGACTGAAACAAATTTCCTGATATAAAAAAGCTGTTTGCAGCCCGTAACTCTCTGTAGCTGAAAGGACAGATATTTAGATTAGATAGTCATGTTTAACAGGCTATTGAGATACCTCCAGTGACAAGTTTGATTGCATGCCAGCAGATTTTTCAAAGGATGTTGAGATCTCTCTCCACACGGAGTTTCCAAACTTAGCGGACCTCATTTGCAGCCGTTCGAGGGTTTGGAAGGCTTTAGTGAAACAGTCGTCGTCAAAGGCAGAAAAAGCTCGTTTAACTAGGTACAGAACCGACATCGCAGACTTCGCTACCTTTTCGCAATGCAACGGGGGTTTACGCGAAGGCGTAATCCAGACTCCCAAGTCCTTCTGGGCGTCCACTACTTGTAATGGTATGTCATCGAAGCCGTAAACCGTGGAGTAAGGAGAGCTGATTTTTTCCTACTCGTATAATATTACACTTGCTTTTATTGAACGACACATGCCAGTCTTTTGGTTATTTTTGGACTCGGTTAATGTTTGCCTGCAACATGTTCGCCATCAGCTGCAATTCAAATGACGCTTTAAAGCTTGGCATTATCGGCAAACATAGTTTTATTTATATCCAGTTCGCCGCCAAAAGCGTTGACGTAAATTATGAACATATTAGGACCGAGGATGGAGCCCTAAGGAACAACGCTCTCAACCGCGACGTCTGTCGGCTGCTTGTCACTGACATGGATAGTTTGGGAGCAACTGCTTAGGAAGTTCTATAAGCACATCAGAAGCGAACTTTTTTCTTTTATGCAGCTGAGTTTGCAAACGAAGCGATAATCCACGAATTAAAATGTTCGCATTGCAGGTGTTTGCTTGGATAAGGAAGAGGATCTCTCGAGCACCAGAGTTTTTTCTTTATTGTCCTAAGCTTTCAAACACTTAGAGAAGTCCATCTTCAGAAATAAGAAGCAGCAATCAAAAAGGCATTTTCCATTCAACTGCCGGAGGTCATTAGGTCGTCAAGGTGTAAGAAACAGCAACCAAAACTGAGGGAGCGGGGACATTAATATTGGTATGCGCGAGTTAAATGACAAGGAGGTCAGGGGTCGTCACGGGTCAGCCCCTTGTTTCAACGGCAGAGGGTCCTGGCAATCCTACTTCCTTTTCCTGTCGGTTCATTGTGGGTTCGAGTTCGCGTGCAGTTCGTAAGTTCGGTTTGTTCTTATACTGTTCTTTACTAACGTAAGGGTGCAAGACTTCGTAGGCCGTAAGAAGGGCTATATGCCTGTTGACAGAGTCGTCATCATTAGTGCCATGTCTTAAGCGTCAGGCTTTCGGCTTTTGAGGTTTCTCGGCCTATGCTGCTCCTCCCTTCAATATCTAAGTTGTGGCCAGTCTCTCCAATTTGTGCTGCAAGTGACAAGTTTGGGTCTAGTATTTGAGCCGTTAGTTTGCGTTCGTGCAGGCGTTTCTGCATTTTTCGCCTACAACGTAATTTCAGTCTTCATCCTTGCAAAGTATCTCGTAGGCAACTGCAGAGGCTTCAGTAGGGGGGAGTTTGTTTTGTGGTTGCATTAAGCAATGATTAGGCACGCTATCGAAGGCCATTTATTAGTCTATATAGGCTGAATGCACAGTCTGTCCTGTATGTACAGCAGTCTTAACAGTGTTGGAAATCGAAAAATATATGGTTTTCTTCCCGGAACTGCACTAGTTTTTGGTTACTTATATTTTCCATAGTTATGCAGCAAGTCGAAATAAGGCTGTTTGGTCTATAATTGTTTACGGATATCAGGTCTCCGCCCTTGTATAGCGGTATAATCCATAGGGATTTCCAATCGGCTGGTAGACATAGAGTCCCGAAAAATGTTTGAAAAAGGTTGGAGAGTGGTTCTGCCAACTCATTGGTGCAGTGGTGCGGATACACAGTAAGTGAACTGAACTTACGCAACCAGAATCGGCCCCTTGGCCTTGGATGCTTGAATGTGCAAACGTTCCTGACTCCGGACACCCAAAGCCTGACGGTACGCAGCCTTTATCAATACAATGCAGACGTCTGCTGCCTGTCCGAAGCTCGGTAAATATAGATCCCCGGAGCCAACTCATACTTCACTTTATACCACAGTGGCCCGCGCGAATCCTTCAGTAGACAAGGTGTTACCACTGCCCTCTCGCAACAAGCAAACTGTCTTCTACTTTCCTGAGAACCAGTCAATGAACGGATGGTTTACGTGCCCCTGAAGGGCCATTTCACAAACATCTCTGTCGTCTTCGTGTGCACAGCAACCTCCACCGCCGACCAGTGCAAGGAGATATTGTACTCGCAGGTGAAATCATTAGTTGGAGGGCTCCCTCGCTGCGATCTCTTATTGTTGCCAGACTCTGGAATGGCCGGACTGAGCGTAGTGCTCCCGCAAACAGTCATTTTATTGGCCGCTTTTGGTTTGGTTGCCGATACCAGAATGGTGAAAGATTGTTGAACTTTGCTGATCGGAACCGGCTGTTTGCTTTTTGTTTGTTTCCAGCACCGCAACCAACATCTGATAACTTGGTTCTCAAACTACGGCCGTACGATCAGTCAGTTTGATTACGTTGTAGTCGAGTCTGGCAAAGCCCATGGGTCTGAACACGTCCTCGTTCGTAGACCCTCAAAAGCTTACCTCTAATCCCCGCCGTCGGTTAAGTGAGAGCGTATGAGGGTCGCGAACAGGGTCTCATTGTAGGCGAACTCATACATCGGCAGGAGCGACATTTCCCTGCCGTATAACCACACGACTCATTACAGGAGTAACCGCTAGATGTCTGAAATAGTAGTTACTATGCCCTTAGATACCTTATAATAAATCCCATGTAAGTAATCCCACCATTGAATGCTGGAATACGTCTGTGCATCTCCATACAAAAACGCATTCCGCAATATCCATTTTGATTAGTTTATGCGACACGTTAGTCTATGTATATATTGAAGTTTAAGTTGAGTCCCCACATAGAATTAAGTAGGCATCACTATTAACGCAGGAAGGAGTAGGGGCAAAGCAAATTAGACTGGGTTGCTCATCAGCCATGTTCGTGTAGAATTAGGTAGTCCCAGCCATGTCCTAGGAAAAAATGTGCATTGGAGTCCCAGAACACGTGTTTAGGTCTAACTGACTGATGATGGCCAATTAGCCATAAAGGACTTGCTCAGTCATCGGTGCCATTTTAGGTTACCCCTCATATACTGACTGTTTCGCCGACATTCTACCACCGCTTAGCACAGCTGAGGGGTGTTCAGCTCATCGAGTTTCCGAACACTGGTGGTTGGTAATGGCTGGCTAATGATAGCGACTAATTTAGAAATGACTACCTCCGCCTCCGTTGTCGTGACTACGAAAGAATGCACCTGCAACTACTAGTTGCAGATGAATCTGTGTGAGAGCCACCTACGCGCACAGAGAACGCACGCCAGTGACCTTGCTTCACACATTTCAAGAGCCCCCCAACCTTCCAAGGCCGCATTCTATTTTTTTGACATCACAAGCGCCTATTCACTCAGTTACGTGTTGTCATGCAAATTTCATTAAAACAACAGCTAGCACCCATGCTGTAATCATGTGATGAAACAGGACCCCGCCCATGCGCACCCAACTAAATGTGCAGACGTCTGTGTGAGACATGTTTTAGGCAACGATCTCATGACACATTTGACGTGGTACTTAGTTTCGGCACAGTTGGAGAGATCCGGGCGGCATAGCGGTGAGAAGTGTGAGGCCAGCGTCTAATTCCTGGCCGCAGGCACTCTAAAACCGACACCCCATGCTAAGAAGCACATTACAACTGATAAGAGAACTATGTCAGAATAAGACTCATCAGTCGGTGGAGTCCTTTTGATTTGCACTATCGCAGCTTCTTTTATCCACGCAAATACAACATCGAGTCCATCAGAAAATGTTAACGTTGGTAGTTAAAGGGTTAACTCTGTCTAAATGTGAATCCCAAGTCGGAGCACCCCTCCTTATTTGCATCGTCACTGCTTCTTGTTTCCACGCAAATACCAGATCAAGTCTATGTCAAAAAATGTTACCCTTCATTCCAGTACCTTTTTATAAGCAGGGAAGGCAAGAAGCTAGTAGTACTTAGCAGGCTAAAAATAGTGATGATTAGGTACTTTATGGAAGGGAGAGACAGTGGAAATAAGTAAGAAATGATCGAGATAAAAATAGATATAAGCGGTAAATAAGCAGGTGGTTGTTTATGTGCTCCAATTCAGAAAGCGGTGTCGTTGCAAACGGCAAACTAACTCTAAACCTAAAAGCCATCCAAACCTTAAAAGTGGTCTTTAGCAAAAGATTACATCGTTCGAAGAACTGCTTACGTTAACCCGTAATCGATTGGTGAGGACTCACATACCAGAAGTATAGACATCACCTTTTTGCATTGCAATGCACAAGGTTCCATAATCGACATGAAAATTCCCTTACAGATTATTTGGTAAGGTCCCAAACGAACTGCAGTGACTGTCTGGCTCAGAAGTGTCTGTATTAAAGAGCGAATAAATAATTCATCTACTGCTTAAGAATACATTTCCGTGCATGTACTATAAAACAGGAAAACTTTTAATGTAACGAGACGATGATAAAAAATATTACAAAAACCGCGATTGAACTGCAAAAACTATACTTAATTAAAGTAGAATACCTCTGTGACAGGCCCTTAGCTATTGATTTTTAAAGCCTTTATATAGTGAAATAACTTCTATTTAGTAATTTTATACAAACCTCTCTGCTACGAGTGCCGATTTATTTAAAGAGAAAGCCGAAGTACGCAGCATGTATCAGAGTTTCTGCCCGTTCCAATAGAGAAAAAGGGAAATCAGGTTTGTAAATGGTTTTATTTGATCTACCCAGAAATCACTCGCTTACTCAAATGAGCAGAAACCAAAAGTTGATAGGAATATTTTGACCCATAACCATTAACCAGTGCAGGATAACCGCGTTAATTTCATTAGACTGCCTAGCGGCAACTAGGATTGCGGTCGCATGATACGTCATACTGTGGGTAAATGCACTAGATAAAGGTCCGGGCGCGTGTTTCGCCGGTATTACATGGCTCTTTCGCAGAGGGGGCGATTAATTCAGCTGAGCAGTGTTCGATTTTCTGGTTCCGCAAATCCCTGGTTGGATATGGCTGGCTAATGTTGGCAAATGAGCGAGAAAGGGCCATCTGAGTATCCGTCGTCTCAACTATGCGAGGATACCTCTGTATGTGCTAAGAGCAACTGAGAAAATGCAAGACAACCCTTATATATCTGGAGGACACCTACCATTGCCTTCGCTAACACGTATCAGGTGCCCCCAACCTTTCAAAGTCGCTTTTCATGGTTTGAAATATATACATGAAAGTAATCATTTAGCCAAAAGCCAGCACCCATGCAGTACAATGCAATGAAAATGTGTCCTGTATTGAATAGTGAGCAGCCACTCATAAACGAGGATAGCGGCGTGAGCTACGCGATAGGGGGCGGTCTCACATCTCACAGCGACTGATATTTGCCCTAAAAGTAGCTTGTCTTGTAATTTTGTGGATGGCGTGTACGCAAAACTGAAGCTTTCAAACAGCATTTCAACAACCAGGGGCCGATCATGTTGTCAATTCTCCGCAGCCTCCCGAGGTTCTGTGTTGTAGCTTTACTTACTGAGATTTTGTGTACATGCAATGTACCCGCATTACACCTCATTCATTTACTTGAAATTGCCGGCTAGAAACAAATAGTGTTTACGGTAGTAGG